GAAATACTATTATGCAATTTGAATAATATAGTGTTCAAAACATTGTGCCTAGTTCTAATATCTTATGAAAAGTTTAATTCTTTTAAGATATTAATGTATAACACTTTATAATAATGAACATCATTTAAGATATTTTTGTGTAATTGTAAATTTGGTTTTAGATGAGATTTTTCTCTAATGAATCCTCCACACAAAGTTCTCAACTCGTATAATTTATATACACTTGAGAAATATTTCTCAACCATTGAGTTTTTTCCCATAATTTTTATCTACTATCATCAGTAACTTAATGGCATTGCCTCTTATTATTTTATAACAAAAAAAGAAAAAAGAATTGCTATTGAATTAGTTACTATTTTGCTGTTATGTGACAACAAGCGCAAAATTACAATGTGAATTAATTATTTTTTCGTTATTATGTTACAACAAACCTAGAATTACAATGAGTTACTACTTTGTTATTTCTTTCAGCTATGTGGTGTTTTTATTAAGGTAATTTTGGGGAAATTTGAAAAATAGACCTAAAAAATATATAATGGGATAGCCCACGTACTTAATTCTTAAAAAAGAAGCCTCTACAATGTGATGGTTGGTTTCTATCACAGAAGACTGCTTCTGTTTTGTAGAAATACAGAACATTATCCAATTACAGAAATATAAACAGGTGAGCAGTTTTATGTGTAATACATTAAGATCTTCCCCATATATACTTGCTTCCTATTACACAGCGTCGTTACGTCATATGCTGTAGGTTATATTATTTTCACTAATATATCGTTAAATACAGTGAATATGTTTGTCCCTAAACATTTATTTATGTTCCTAATGTTTTACTATCAGGTCATCAATATCAGAATCCCCGCTGTGTGGACGAAAAAGGACTTCCGGTAGTGAAAAACCTTTGTTCAATAGCATTACGACCTTCAGTAAACATAAGTGCTTGTAATAAGCACCCTTGCCCAGCAAGGTAAGTCCAATAATCACGTGAATTAGCAGCTTTTGTAGTGTTATGTTAGACCAATATTTAGCATATAAACCAGCGAATGTTATCATACCAAGTTAGACCGATAGTTTTGTAACAATTGACTACTCTTGTCATGCCTGGTGTGTTCATTGGTCTTTTTTATAACATGGAAACCACCGGAATTTATCAAATTTGATCAATTCGAGAAGTTTGCCGTTTAAGGTGAGTCCGAGACTTATCTTTTAACACAGGACTCAGCAATCCTTGTCAGTTCGCCCAAGAGTTTTGTAACATGTGAAAAAGGAGCTCTTTCTATCAGTTGATTGAGAGAGTTCGTGCGTAGGTTTTGAATTAGCAACTTTGTGAGTCCAATAATATTTTAGTAGTATGTGAAATAACCATCAATGCTATATGCACTATACACAAGAAACAATAGTCCCAACTCTGAACAGACACTCTGAATATATACCCAACCATACCGTTGAAGGCATAGCGTAAACCGTGTGGAGAGGAGGTCGAATAGTGAAGCTGGACGCGCATCCGGCACACCCATGCACGGCTGTAGAACGAAACGGAAACGTTGGGCTCACTCGTTTTAAACCCAACCCGAAAAAAATAAAATGAAAGTGTTAAAAGAATAACAAAGGGTAGACAAAATTAACTACCGATGACGTCATCGCAACTTGTCTCGATGAAATTGGTGAATAAGTCTTCGACAGTGGCGTAGCTTCCTGAATTCGATAACCTTTCCACTTCACTCGGTAGTCATGCTTCCTATTGTGAACATATTCACAGATGTAATGAACCATGCGTCAGTCCATAAAAACAAACATTATGAACCGACATGTCATGGTCTTCTATATTTCAATAAGGAATCATGACGTTGGTAATTGCTGACATGGAACACTCAGAACGTCTTACAATGCTTGGTTAAATCTATTCAAAAACAAACAGAAGATGTAAATTTTAGAATATTATAAGGTTCATACGAATATGGAGCAAGTTTAGAAGAAACATTGGATTTTCGTAACGATTGGAAAATAAGCTTAACACTAATGTATTTAATTTGTCCTTTACGTAAACGTAAATCTTGGCTTTTCTTATTGGACAGTCGGATTTGCAGCCTTCTCTACGGGCAATCGTGGTGGAGATATATCCGGGCGATGTGATATATCAGCACATTTACTAATTCCAGAAAGATATACGTCTGATAAACAAAAGTATTATATGCTAGTTCCGCTATATCTATGTATAAATGCAGCATAGTGGGTTGTCCAGAACAGTAAAACGTAAATAACTGATCACAGGGCTATTAGTTTTTGTATTTTTTTTGTTCTTTTATTTTCCATCTATGATGCAAAGTTACATATTTCGCTTAACGACTTCCTAGTCGTATCATGAGTTGGAACCAAACGCTGAGCTGAAATGAATTTCTGTTACTTATACTTTCTGTGTGGATATACTCTGGCATCGAACAACTTTATGGGAAACGTCAAGTACTTTTTCTGCTGTCACTGGTTGACAGTACGAACTACAACTATGTACTTGGAGAATTTTTGTATACAGTGAATTATTATCATACATCGTTTCAGGAAGTCAAGTAGCAAAATTTATTATAATAACGTCCCATAGTTTACTTAGTGTTTCAGTAGATTGCATTAGGTCTTTGGTGAAAAACCTTGCAAATACAGACAACCGTTGAAAAGTTTCATTATTGCAGATGTCAAGCTTGACCAACAACAATTAACTAAGGTAGTTTGCAGCACTGTTAAGGTGACCTGTGATGAGAGCTTCATGCCAAATTGTAAGAATTTCTTTTCTTAATCGTTGATTACGGAGTATAATTAATCTCTGTTTTTCTTGATAACCCATATAAGACCACCTTCCACGGGTTTCGTTAAAGTTTCCATGACAATATTTCCGTATAATAGGATATTTCGGTTATGTTGCCATTTTCTTTTTTTTTCTTTCACTTCATTACTCAGTTCTGTTTGAGTTGAATTTCTTTCTTGAATTCGAGAGAGCATTAGCCACTATTTTTTTATCCACTGATGTGCTCTATATTACATATGAAGAACTGTATACAATCGGCATTCCTTGCTTAGTGTCAGTTAGATTATTGCTAAAGATAGATGATTTGTCAGTCCATACAGTTCAGTTTTTATTGGATAAATATGGTCTACGGAACTTTGGTGCGAAGTCCAATGATAAGAGTTCGTTATGATAAATAGAATATCCCAGTTCACATTCGATACATTTTCTGGAGATGAAAGCACATACCAGCCACTAGGCTAGCACATATTGCGTATTTCGAAGCATCGGTCTAGACAATCAGATTATCATTTATTTTAGGATTGCATGATAGAGATTTACTACAAAATAATACTTTTATTTCTTGAAATGCATAATTATACATGGACGCACCTCGGTTATGTTTTTGGTTGCATAATTTTCTGTACGTTTTGTTCATTAAAGGTTATGTATCGTTTGCCATTCTGATTGTATTGTATTGATTTTTTTAGAAAAGTCACTTTTTTTAGATTAGCATAATATTTATACTTATTCAAAACCCGTAAAATGTTCCATATCTTTATCACTAAGCACGATAGTGATCAGTGTGTAGTGACGGGCCGGGAAAAAATGCCGTCGCATATTATGTATTGCTCATTATAGTTTCACAATTCTCATATAACAATCTAAGATACTTTTATAAACAACTAACTTAGGATTTCGAGGTTTTCAAAATCTATCAAGACCTCCAGTTTAGCCAAAAACATCGCTAAAGTAGAGAACCGGCGATTAGCGCAACAGCCAAATGTTCTGCTGGTTATTCTGATTCTGGCATCAGAAGGGATAGCTCACCAATGCTTGAAGTTCTTGAGGTGACTTACACACTAAACTTTTGCATTTTAACTTGGGGAGTACAGAAATAGTATAGCGTTTCACTAACTTCAACACATCATGTCCATCAAGACAACTCATCACGCCAGGTTAAAATTACTGCCTTCATAGCGACTGCCATTCATTAATATCGACTGTTTAAAAAAAGAGGGGAAACAAGTAATAAAAAAAATTGGAAAAAATAAGGATGATGTAAAGATGGCAATGCCAAAAAGTACAAAAACTAGGTAGGAATGAATGCACAACATCATACAAAAATCCCTACATAAGTAGCCACTGATTCAATGTTACAAGCTTATGGGAATTAGCCATTGTCAAACTTAATACCATTATTCAGTTTAAATGTTTTTATTTAAACCTTAATTCATGCAAATGAAAGGAATTCGATATTTAGTTGTAGGTACACGTTTTTCTTGGAAATATTTGGCTACTTATGTAGGGATTTTTTTAAGGTTTTGTGAATTCATCCCTACAATGTTTGTGTATTTTTTAGCATCGCCATCTCTACAACTTCCTTATTTTTCAAGCTATTTATTTATAGTATATAAACTATCCTACCGAAAGTCATGGGACACGGGTAGTGATGAATAAAACATGTCTTTATTCCAAGAAATTAACAGCGTGTTGGCCCTTCTTTGGCCTTAATGACTGCTTCACCGCGTCTGTTAATTTCTGGTAGAAAGCTGGTGGTATTGTGCTCCACTCCTCCTTAAAAGCATTAGTAAGCTCCACTACCAAAGAGAGCCATCTTAGCCTGGCCCTAATTTGCGTTCCAGTTTATCCCAAAGATGTTCTATCGGGTTGAGGTCAGGGCTCTTTGCCGGCCACTGCAATGTTCAGAGTTTCTTCTCTTCAAACCATCAGTTCACAATCCTTGCTTTGTGACATGGAGAGTTATCATGTTGGAAAGTGTAAGGACCGGTACCATAAAATTACCACAATGTAGAACTCAGCATTCATGGATCCATGCATTGCAATAAGTGGACCCAGTCCATACCACAAGAAGCACCCCAAGACCATGATACCTCCACCTCCAAACTTCACTGTTGGGACAACACACTCAGGTAATAAGCGTTCTCCAGGCATCCTCCATACCTCCAGGCGATAATAGTGTCAGTATTAACTCCACTTTCTTCTACAAATGAGATCATTGAATCAAATATGTCCTTACTGTTTTCAGACAGTGGAGTGATGTGGCCAAGGAATATCAACCGTGGTTCTTGAATAAGAGTAATATGCTCTACTATATTAGTTTTAAGATAATATTTCATTCTCTGTTTCACCCTTATTTTTGTCTTATCCTTTCTATCACAGGCAATCCCACTATTTATTCGTGAAAGAGTAGCCCAAGACTTGGCGGTGGGTGGTGATGACTAGCTGCCTTCCTTCTATTCTTTCACTGCTAAATTAGGGACGGCTAGATCGTGTAGCTTTGCGCGAAATTCAAAACAAACCAAAAAACCTTTTGAATATCTAAGTACAGTTCCATATGCTGCAACGGTTCAACACTATTTTGCTCCCCTGCCCTCTGTTTCTTTCTTTCTCATCTCAGCTTGTGTCTATCTATTACGTGTAAGGTGTCGTCTTTGTGAATGATGCCAAAATCTTGCATCACAGCATTAGAGATGCCTGCTGCAGGACAATCCGAAAGACCATAACGATTTATAAGTCCTAGCCAGCACAGACATACTAGTTCTCATCTGATGTGATATACATGAAAATTCAATTACTCTATCAGCAGATGAGTTTGAAGTAATCTCTGACCCAGAATTGTCAGGATCAAAGTTTTTTCTGATTCAGATAATGAAGAGTTCTAAAACGATTCTGCAATGTTCGTGCTTGCTTCATCATCTAATATCCTCTTCTGAGTTTAAATTTTTCAGCCATTTCGCAGTTTTAGGTTAGTATACTACATCTACTCATCCAATGCCAGTTTTCTTTATGTTTGCTGGTTGTTAAAAAATTTTTTCAGGAATAGGAACTCAATGAGTTACATCACATTTGTAATATCTTGAAATAAATTAACAAGCAGCTATAACAAACGATTTCATTGTTTCCTTAAGAAAGTTCTGCCATTTACATCAGAAGCAACTTTCTAACCAATTTCAGCAACCTTTGTCTCAGCATCTGATGGTAATGACTTATATGCTGGTAGTATGAAATGACATCTGCAACTGTTGGTAGAACATTGATTTTCAATGGTTGTGCATCAAGTCCTGATACATGTGAAAACGCTGACAGTTGTTTATTTTTAGTTCGCCTTCTCCAACTCGTGATAAACGTTGTAATAAAGGAAAGGGAAAAGAAATATAGCACCAGAGTAGAGTGACAATCCCTCTTCAAACCGTTTCTTACTCACAAAGTGCATTGCATCCACGTAGTAGCTACTAGCTCAAGGAAGGTTGCCAACTAGTACATGTCAGGAAAGTATTTCTTAAGCATGAAGAATGCAAACAACTAACGGGTTGAATGTCAGAACATTATTTCTCGGCATAAATATCGGAAACTTCAGGCGTTTTGCAGAACCAGTAAACGAATACAAAACTGAATATATTTTACACATTTATTATAAGTATGCACATACTACTATTATGCCCATGGAGAATTTGATATGAGGCAGAACAATATTTTGCTCCACCCTAATAACTAGTATTGAAAGCAGCCTCAAACCTCTTGCCTTGTCTAACGGTTGAAGGACTCTGTTAATCAGTTCCTTTCACAATTCCGGTTTGGTACCATGTACGAAGTCAAGTATTCTATCTTTTTCATGCATATCAGGAATTTCCAAAAGTAACTGTCTAAAACTGAAAAATATCCAGCTGTAGATCACGTTTTTGTCTCAAATTGACAGTCCTTGTAGACTTTCATAACTGGTAAGTTTTTCTCAAATGAATTCATTATATATTTCCCAAATAATGTCAAGTATGAAAACTAGCCATGAGCTTTTTTTATAATTAACAAACCAATTTGATGCATGTTCTTGTAAAAGGGTAGCCGTAAAAGCTACACTAGAGTTTAAGCTACGTCCAAGAATGCAGGCAACTTTGTATTGTTTCAACCATAGAATCACAGTATAATTAGGTTGTCTCTTAATTTTCGGACACTTTAGCAATACCATGAACTTGTTACATTTACATGAATTGTGCAAATGATCTTCTCGACTCAGATGATCTTGGTCTCGAGTCCTCCTGATTACCGATACACCTTGAATCATTTGATTAAGCTGTTGTTCGACAGGTTCATATGATCATGAAGTTATATGACGTCAATTCTGAAGTTAATTCCAAATAGATTTGTTTTGAACGGTTTATGTCAAAATACTGTAATCCATATTTTTTCTGGCCGTTGTTTTCCATGTTTCGTTTATCTACGATATTGCCAGAATAAAAAGAAAGATGATTTACGTAATATGCATAACTTTATGATAACCATAGACAAATGATTTACGTAATATGCATGACTTGATGACAGCCATAGGTAAATGATTTACGCAACATGCATGACTTGATGACAGCCATAGATAAATGATTTACGTAATACGCATGACTTGGTGACAGCCATATGTATGTGATTTACGTAACACGCATGACTTGATGACAACCATAGGTAAATGTTTTACGTAACATGCATGACCTGATGATAACCATAGACAAATGATTTACGTAATATGCATGACTTGATGACAGCCATAGGCAAATGTTTTACGTAACATGTATGACCTGATGATAACCATAGACAAATGATTTACGTAATATGCATGACTTGGTGACAGCCATATGTATGTGATTTACGTAACACGCATGACTTGATGACAGCCATAGGCAAATGTTTTACGTAACATGTATGACCTGATGATAACCATAGACAAATGATTTACGTAATATGCATGACTTGATGACAGCCATAGATAAATGATTTACGTAATACGCATGACTTGGTGACAGCCATATGTATGTGATTTACGTAACACGCATGACTTGATGACAACCATAGGTAAATGTTTTACGTAACATGCATGACCTGATGATAACCATAGTTAAGGAATCCGGATTATTATGTGTCCATCCTCTCCCATTTGCTCAGATCAGTGGAAACACGCTCTTCTACCAAGAAAAAGTTCTCTGTAAAACACTAATGTCTTGACGAAGATAAATATATATTGTACAGTAAATACTTTTACAACACAAAAAATCTGAAGATATTACTTTTCTTTAAACATAATACAAATACTAGGGATTCATCACATATTATAAAAACAAAACTATGCGGACTCTACACAAGAAGTATAAAAAAGAAAAGAAAAAAGCTTTCGACACTAAACAGACACTCCATATTTATACCCAACAAGCATGTTGGTGAATCTGAGGATCTTGTCGAAGCTTAAACCAGCATTTCTGATTTTTTTTTATTTTGTGGTAATCCTGTGCTTAAAATCAGCGAGTCTTATTTTAATGTACATGTCTAAATCTCCGGGGTAATATTATCTCAAATGTTACAATAGCTGGTCTTGTCGTATTAAGTAATTTAATATTGTTCTACAGAGATCGAGTACATTATATGAAAAATATTTTGGAGTCTTACATATACCACGTCGTTTCAGTCGATGTTCGCCCAGTCAAGTCATGCTCTGTAATAAGGCTGTCATGTTCAGAGCACACACTTCCTACATGCTAGCTTTCCACAATCCATTTAGTATACGAGAACAACATATTCCTAGCACTCGTTTTAACAGTTCAATCGCACAGAAATTCATAAACAATGTATGCAAACACTTGACTGGTATGTCTTTAGATGCAATAGCATGAATACCCATTTAATTTTACCGCTGCTTAAGGTGTAAGTCAATTAAGATAATACCTTTGGATGCAGCATGTGTACACTGACTTGTTACACTTTTCCGGTCGGAGATCCTTCTTTATTATTATGTTGCGTAATGTTGCTTGGGCCACGTGAGCAGCTATTACCATTGAAATTGGTGTTACAAGATGTCGCACTTTGTTTAACACAGTTATGGTGTGAATTGTTGCAGGTCTCTTTCTGGGTGATACTATAGCCCAAATTCTACATTTTTTTTTTGTTTGCCAATATAATTTAGTACAAGGCGTATCCCTTTCTTAAAAAATTTTAAATAATCTACTGTGGTATGAAAAAGCACCTTTCAATACAAGATATTTATACACTCAGATCACAAAGATGTGTTCAGATCTGGAATTTAACTTTTTCATTCTAACATACTTGTTTTATAAAGTGAAAGAGCTTGTTTTTTGTTGTTTTATTGAATTTTTGCGCAAAACTATCTGCGTTATCTATCCATAATTTTGAATTGGTAGACCAGAGGGAAGGCATTTAGTCAACACCACCCAATGCCAACTCTTGAGTACTCTTTACCAACAAATAGATGGATTGATCGTTATATTATAACGCTCCCACGGCTAAAAGGGCAAGCATGTTCGGCGACAAGCTTCAATTCCGCGGTTAGCAGATTGTGAGTCGAGCGCCTTAACCACTAGTTTTATTCTTTTGTACGATTTTGAAATTATAATTTCTTCAGTAAGCTTGGCCGTGTGTTATCACAAGTAAACTGCACGTTTTAAATGATTCGCTGATTGTTATATAACAAAATGTAATGACCCACTTAAATAATCTGCACATTTTCATACTTGTTCTTGTTATAAAGATGGGAAGTTGGAAACTGGACAATATGTTCCAAAAGCTGTGGTACAGGGTTTCAACATAGGACTATCCGATGTGTCCAGGAAAAAAAGACAAAAAGGACAGTGACTAGACGACACTGTCATGGCTTGACCCTGCCAGTAAGGAAACAAAAGTGTAAGCAGACGGAATGTCCTCCGATTTGGGTAACTGGTCCTTGGACAAAGGTACGCCAGTTTAAGAAATATATTCTAGCAAACACGTTACTTAAATTAATTTAACATTTTAAGTAACATTTAGTCTTCAAATTCCAGTAAAATATAATTACTACATTCTCATAAAATTTTATTTCACAGGATATAGAACAGTAAAAGTATTACAAACACATGTTTTACACGAAAATACTACCGGCTTTCTGTTTTTGTCCACAATCGTGCTTTGCTCCCACTTTTGAATAACTAAAGATCTTAGATGTTTATGAAATTATTGTGATGCCTATAATAACAAAATAAATTATATTAATTTCTCATATATCTTTCTTGGCACATCCAGTGTGAAGGCGGCTGCAGTTTGGGTGTTCAGACAAGAACAGTAGTTTGTCATAAATATGGCTTGTGGAATTTTCCACGTTTGGATTTCAAAGAGTGTAAGCAGACTGAAGCGCCCTCTTCCGTGCGTAGATGCAAAATCAACGACTGCAAACAGTTTCGACTTGGCCATGAAAATGGAGAATGGATCACCGAAAACTGGGACCAGGTAACAACACGTCATTTATTATAACCTATAATTAACCTTAGACACGTGTTGCAAGTTTTATGTTATTGCTTTCAAAATAAAATAAAAGTGTAAAGTGAGTAAGAAACTAACAACATTTTCACTTGGCTATTTAGTGTAGTGCAACTTGCGGCCAAGGACAACAGACTAGAATCGTCAGGTGTGTTAACCGTGAAAATCATCTAGACAGTAAGTGGTGGAATCTGAGAACAGCGTACCACACTCCACCACAGTGTGATCCACTAACTAAACCTACCAGCGTTAAGCCCTGTAATAATGAAACCTGCATTCTCACTGAAACCCAAGGTAATATTAGACACAGTAGAATAAATTAAAAATAGTTAATTACTAACTTCAGAACAAAATATTCGTAAATTTAATATTACTATAATGTAAGATCATTGTCTTTTAAATATTTAATTAGTTTTTGATTTTTCCATATGAAACACAAATAGATTCCTGTTGCTAATTTAGGGGCGAACAAGAAAATATTCGAATTAAAGTTTCTTTTTTTGTGGGGTTTATCTAATTTTGGCTTTAACACGATATCTTAAGTTATCCAAGGGCTGGGCTTGGATTTTGCTCTGATTAACAAAACCAGAATATTATTGGCAGGAATATCATCTGCCACTGAGCAAGCAAGAAAATTTAAGATAAATCCCTTATGGCGAAACACCTAAATTTGAAATTTGTCGTAATGAACAATTAGTAGATGTAACCAATGTTCGAATGTTAAGACTTCTGATAATTTACGTAAATTATACAAAACAAAAATATTTCTTGATTTAAATCTCTGCAGGACCTAAATGTTCAGACCTATTCAGCTGGTGTGATGTAGTGGTCAAGCACAATGTCTGTGATCATCAGTTCTATGCCAAGAAATGCTGCACGTCGTGCGCTAAAGCTAAGACACTTCTTTAATTAAGGGTTATCCATTGAAAGCTCAAAGTGCCATCTCTGTGTGATGTTACACCACGTATTTTGTACTGTATTCGATATGTTTACATATGTGTGTGATCTCTCCTTTTTTAGAGATGGTATAGATCTAGGAAATAAAATAAATAAATCATATAAAAATTAAGAATAGAAGTCACATTTTCTTTCTTCATACTAGCATCAAAGTAACTTTATGAACACTCATTTCTAGGAACTTTTTTTATTGCATCATAACAATCGAAAATTCTAGACATTTTATAGTATGAAAATGTTACTTTTGATGTTATGACAAGTGATATAAAACCATTACATGATGTCACAATATGGATATAATGTGAGATATAAAAGAACTATTTTTGGATGTATAAGCAAAGCATAAATACAATAATACTACACTGCTTGTGCCGGTTCCACACAAGAATTTCTTAAAGTCATGCATGAAAGGTAAAAATAAACTTCTATCATTTAGTTCAGACCGCCCTCTGGTAGCTCAACGGTAGCCTAAGTGGGTGGAACGCAAATGACCCATTGTGTAGATTTGTGCTTACAAACAGTGTACGCTAAATGTAAAAACTGATGCCTTATCAATCACAAACATCGTAGCTTGTAATGTAACATCAGCAAAACATTTGGGTGTAGAAATGCCGTTAATTTATTTTGTTTTGAATGAAGCCATGTTTTGTGGTTTGAAACTTTCGTTCTTTTAACACTTTCTACTCACTTCAGCAAACTTCTCCAATTCTCGCTCTTTATAAATACAACGTGCTAAAGAGTTAAATAAATTCGTAGTTACGGAAATGAAGGTTTTAGAAATAACATATGATTGTAAAAATGTATTTCTTGAATAATCGAGTCCACGCTGTTATAAATATGCTACTGAAGTAAGTAAGTAATAATCAAACAATGCATTTAATATTGAATTTTGGAATTTGTTCATTTCTCCCCATACCTCTAGAAATATATAAAAATACTTTCAGTTCTGTTGGCTATCTATAAGCCAAGAAAATAACATCGATAAACATGTCTTAGACATGAAAATAACATCGATAAACATGCAAGATTAAAGGTTGCACTTTTAATTCCAAAAACTACAGTTGGCCAGGACTATGAATTATAACTTTAAGGTTTTTTTCAGATTGAGATTGCATTATATTGTTTGATATTACCAAGCAAAGAAATAATATAACAAGCCAATGGACGTATCACAAGGACATTTCGAAGGTTATTTAGTTTTAAAACTTAACTAAATGCTTTATCTAATGGTTATAATGTTTTTAACTCAGAACTGTAACATCATTTCACACAAAATATACCTTTGAAAGTTACAAAACGAATAAAATTATGCATATTTGTGTGTGTGCTTAAAATGCACTTCTACTGCTGTTTGTCCTTGGTCCTACTGAGTTGTTCACTTAGATTTTATATAATATATTCATCTTGATTCATAATAGTATTTGCATAAATTTTCACTGTGGTGGATTATCCTTTATGTCCACACGTAAGACAGTATTCAGACACATAACATCACCTATAATCTATAATGGCGGTTTTTCATATTTTGTTAAGCTTTATGGTGTGTAACTGCACAAACAGAGTTGTGAGACAGCGCATAACTGATCAAAATGTACCTTATACACTGTTATATGGTTATAATTGCGGATACACCACGAAGTTTGCCACTCATAGCCTAGTCCACACATCAGCAAAAACCTACCAAATACATGGCCACTGTTTACTTTTTAATTTGACTTCAGCAGTAAAGCATGTAATTACTGTGCTACTCATAATATTAGCTGAGAAACTATAGTCAACCTTCCACAGCTCAGTACTAGATGACAGATAATACAAGAAAAACAACTTCCAAAAGTACAAGCGGGAAATCACTAATGACAGATAATACAAAACAACCAGAAGTACAAGCGGGAAATCACTGATGACAGATACTACATAACAACCAGAAGTACAGGCGGGAAATCACTAATGACAGATAATACAAAACAACCAGAAGTACAAGCGGGAAATCACTGATGACAGATAACTACAAAACAACCAGAAGTATAGACGGGAAATCACTAATGACAGATAATACAAAACAACCAGAAGTACAGGCGGGAAATCACTAATGACAGATAATACAAAACAACCAGAAGTACAAGCGGGAAATCACTGATGACAGATAATACAAAACAACCAGAAGTACAAGCGGGAAATCACTTTTATTCCGTTACACAGAAATTGTGGTTCACGCAACTCTAGAACTTTGAAACAATAAAAATTGATTTTCGAGTTTCAATACTACTGTACAATCCTTCAACTTAACATACGACTTTGGTAACTACAAATTTTATGCGCAACTGCACTTTATAATACGTCCCATTGTTTTTCAAAGGTATATATGTATAGCAATAAACTTTCTTTTAAAGTTAGGTACTTTAACAACAGGTCACTACGGTTTATTTCTCAAGTAAAGAATCGTGTTCTTCATTTCTTTCTCTCACCAGTTATAAAGGATAACAGACACTTCGTGATCTCAAGGGTAGTTCTCTAGACCAAAAAGTATTTAATTGATTGTCATAGTGGAGATATTTGCAAATTCTCCTTTAAAGTGATTGGCCAATTTGCTATTTCCACAAACCATGTAGATATTTCAGTGTTCCTATTATTCCTCAGGTAGTCATATATTAATGTAGCATATGTAGATACAGTCATTTACATTATTACTCTATGAACATTTATTTCGGTGAATTTAGACTGCTTTTCCCAAGAGGCAGCAACGTCTAACCTCAGTTTTAATCGAAGCTTATGTTAAAAACACAAGATGCATTTAGAACGCTTTGATAATGTTTTTCTGTTCAATCTGCTCGTCCAAATCAACTTTCATCTCATCTACAAGTAAAATGCATTTTAATGTTTGGAAATAGAAACGAAACATAATTTTAGAAGAGTGAAATTAATTCATATTAACAGGTTTAAAACTTGTTTTAAACTTACATCTGTAAGAATTAAACTTTCTTCAGTGTATATTTGCCAGCTTTCAAGATGCGGTAATCGACACTGCATGTTGTACTTATAAAATAGATTCTATACGTAATCTGTTAGGTATATTGTTAGCGTTTCAAGCAACACATTTAATCGCACTTCAGTTTATATCGTTTGACGTTTAATATCCATAGTTGTCCTGAGCGATCGAAACTAGCAGTCTGTTAGTCCTTTCTTCACGGTTAATTAACATTTGAAAGCAGAGTT